GTATAAACAACATTTTACACTTAGTCAGCAGAAAAATGACTTGGCAGTTTTCCTTACAGATAACACCTGTATGTCTTGAATAATATGTGTGTGCATTTTTAATTCAAAGACTTTTATACTGTATAAAATTCCTGTGTATAAGGAATCAAAAATCTAGCTTTTCTAAAAATGTATTTTTTAACGTGAAGTAAAACTGGCTTGAAAATACATGTGACCAATCACAACAAAAGATTGTTCTGTCATATATCCTATTCAGTCAACAGAGAAAATGACAGGGTTCTATCAGGCATGAAGTAAATTCTTTGCTTAGGATAAAAAAAATCTCTCCAGACCAAATCTCAAGAATATTATCTATGCAAGGGAGAAAGAATGGGGGATACAGGCTCTTCTATTTAAGTGAGTTCTGAGCAGGACCTTGTATCAGCCATTAGCAAGGGAACTATGAGCTGTGGTGAGTATATCTGTATGAGCACACACAGTGACATATATTAAGTATGTTTGCTGCTTGTGAAATTCTGAGACTTCACCAGTCATTAGATGCAGGTCTGTATTGTGGAATACAAGAGATGGCAAGGGTGGAAAGTGAAGCGGGACATTATTCAGCAGCAGATTCTGTAGAAGCCCGCTGCAGACTCGGGGCTTGTGTCAAATCTAGAATAGCATATACATTCATTGCTCTGCTGTCATAACTTTGGTTTTGAACTGCAACTTCTAAGAGCTAGAATATTGCAAATCAAAGAGACATAGGAAGATGAAGCTAACTTCACATCATTTAAAAAATGGGCCATGCAGCTCGACATTTTCATTCTCAGTATCCGTGCTCACTGCATCTGTGCTCTCTGCACCAAGCGAGAGCGTTCCAAATGCAGCAAGGCCTGAGGTAGGAGTCTTGATGCGGGAAAGCAAAACAGAGTTGAGGGGCCGTGATTCTTCCATGTGGGAGGTAAGAAGCAGGTGTTTGGCTCGAGGGGAATACTTTACTGTCAGGTATTTCCTCCCTCTCACCATTAAAACCAGAGTTTGGGGTGAGGATTTGACACTTTAGCAAATGGAAATTTGAGAAAATACTACTTTGCCCAGGGTCCAAAATTCTGTGGAGCGCAGCGATGCTGGAAGCACCGAGCGTGGAACACCTGGATGTGTTACTCTCTGCTTCCCCTCTGTATTTGTACTTCCCACGTTATAGTCCAAGTACCTATTGATCTTCTCGTCTCCGTCTTTGAGTCTGTGAATTCCTTGCAAACATCAATGGCGCCTTGTTCCTTCACAAGCCCTCAGAGAGTCTCGCAAAGTCCGTGACGCCTTGACTTGTCTTTTCTTAAGCTGTGCTGGTTTTAAGAGGTGTTGTGGATTGAACATAATTGAGAGGTAGGGGATTTTAGTTTGGGGAGAGCCAGTCACTAGAAGGCTTTTGATCCTCAGGCAAGTCATTTTGGCCTGGAGGTCTCAGCTTGTGATTAACTGGTACATGGTAGATGCCTTATATAATCCTTATGGTAAATTTGAACTTTTATCATACATTGGAAAATCTTTCTTTGCAAAAATGTAAAGTTCATATATCAGTGAGTTGAGATTATATATTCAATAAATGTAATAAAAATCTCATTGCCTATGCAAAAAATTAGCCATTAGAGCAAAAAGTAATGAACAACTCCATCTAAACATGGTAGACAGTATAGTGCGCCTTCTTCTTGCAAAACTAAAGACTGTTACTTGCACATAGTGAAAATTTCTTCTGTGAATTAGCAGTGATTAATTTCTCCTGTGGAACATCTCAGCTAATGCTGGTTCACTGGTGCAGTATCTTTGTTTCACAGAGTAACAAAGTAACTTTCTACAGTTAACGTCCACAGAAAATAAAAATATGCCCAATAAAAATGTCCTTCAATAGGAATTTACTCATTTTATCTCGAGCTCTGTCTGCCCATTTCACTGTGATAAGTGTTTTCAATAAATATTAACTAATCAATCATCACCTTTTGAAACAGATCTACTCTTAACATATTTCCAAACATTTCATTAATCCCTCTGAATTCTTATGTCATTCATTTATCAGAGATGAAGGCATGAAATTCAGATTCAGGAGTCCTGTTAGCAGAGTTTTTGTTAAATGACAAAAGGCTTAAGTGAGGATAAAGTCTTTGGGAAGTTCTTTAAACTGCATAAGAAAACTGATTGAAAAAAAAAAAAAACAATCACAATAGCCTCAGCCTAGCATCCCTGAAATGAATCTTTTAAGGATCATTTTAATGATCCTGGAGACACAGTTGAGAAGTCAGTTAAATGTTTCATTGAAAGTTGTTTTTTAGAGACTGTGCTTGATGCCAAATACTGAACTTTTTTTCCCCGAAAGTGGTATACAAGACATAAAGTTTGCATCTGAGTTAATTTTCCATTGTGGTGACAAACGTCATGATCAGGACAAAATAAAAAATAATAATTTAGCTTATAAAACAGTTTAATTGGGCTTACAATTCCAGTATGTTAGAGTCCATGATGGAAGGAACAGCTGAGAGCTCACATCTTGATTCCAAAGTTGGAAGCAGAGAGAGAACCCTGAGAAATTTCAGAGCTTCCCCTAAATGATGCACCATCTCTAATAAGGCTGAAACCCCTAATTCTTCGAAAGCAGTTCCAACAGCTGGAGACCAAGCAGGAGAGTCTCTGGAGGCCATTTTCATTCTGACCACTGCTGTATACACAAGCACAAGGTAGTCTCCCCTGGAGGAACTGTGGTCATCACAGAGCTGAAGGCTACTGGGAGACGAGACTTCTGGACCGCCATTAAAGAATGCCTTTAATGGCAGCTCATTGCCTGGTAGTGACGACTACAGAAAGCTATAGCCTTTGGGAAATTAGAATGCAAATGTTTACAGCTGCAGCCTCCTCCTAGGTCCTGGTACAGTTCAGGATTCATCAAGGCTACCATGTGTTCCTGGCATCTCCACAATCCTCTAAGCTCAGTGGTGGTTAATACCGAGAAGATCTAGCATCACCTGTACAGAGACAATCCTCTGTACACGCTTGTGAAAGTGTCGTTAGATTTAGTTGATGCCAAAGATCTACCCTGAATGCAGCACTATTTCATGAGGTTGGAATCTGGGCTGAAACAATGGAGAAGGTGAGGTGAGCATCAATATGTGGCTATTTTAGCCTCCTAATGCTGGTGCAGTGTGACCAGCTGCCTCAGCCACCATACCTCAGGCACCATGCCTGTGCCACCATGCCTTCCCATCGGAAGGGGATACAGAACGCACTGTATCCCCTTATACCGCGATCCAAAATAGGTCTAACCTTAAAGTGCTTCTTGAAGGGTGTTTAGTCACAGCCGTGAGAGAAGCAGCTAATACAGATTCTGAATGAGAACCAGATATCAGGATTGGGTTTCCTTGTGTACCAGATGCTCCACAGGGACACATCACCCACAAGGGGGATGGACATCACAGCTTGAGGGTTCTTCTGTTTTATTCTTGAGAATTTTTAAGATTGGCGTATAGCAAGATCATTTCCCCTTGCTGTTTTCTTTCTCCAACACCTCCCAATGCATCCCCACCCACCCACTTAGTTCTCTCTCAAATTCATGCCCTCTTTTATTTTAATTGTTGCTTTGCCTTCCCTGGCCTTGGGTTTCATGGTACCTTCTCTGGGAAGAGGGGAGCTGTGTAAGTATCTCGGCTATCCTCTAAAGGAGAGAAATTTAAAAGGTGTGGAAACGTGTAGATAATATGGGGTGTATGCAGAGATTAATAGTGGACCGACTGCGCATCAGCGTGATGTGAGAAACTCCCTGGATTTTCTTTCTGCCTTCTTAGAATTGATAATTAGAGGAAACAAAGAATGGAGAAACTGAGTAGCAGGGACCATGCCACCTGCCTACTAATGACCACCAACCTTTATCCCCTAAAACATTCTTTCATCCTAGTAGGAGCTTTTGAAACTGGGCAAGGGAGGGGAGAGCTGGCCAGGAGTGGCTGACTTAGGGGGAGACATAGCAAGTAAACAAAGGCGCGTTTGCCACTTAATTACCTTTTAAGATGTAAGGGGGGAGCACAAAAATTCAAAGTCTGGTGGGGGGGGTGCAGAATTGCTTTCACCAGTTAACTCTTTCCCACCCTGACATTCTACAGCCCCAAAGTTTCAGTGGCTAGAATAGCTGACAAGTTGTGGGCACTGACCAACTCTGAGCTGGAGAAAGCTGGGAGTACCGCCATTTATACACAAAGCCAAGGACTTCCCAGGCCGCAGCCGGCCCTGTCGGGGTCGGGGTCACCGCAGCACTGCCTGCCCAGAGACGCGCCAGGAAGCGCCCGCTGCTGTTGGTGGCCGGGAGAAGTTAGTCATCCATAGCCCGAAGTCAGCAAGTGTTGGAGCTTGAACAAACTAGGAGATGAGAAGTTTAGAAATCAGCTACCGGGACCGGCAGGAGGGAGCCAGGGGAAAGAGAGCGGGAATTGGGAATGCACCGGCGGCTGGGAGCCCTGGCCAGTGGTTGGAGTTGCCAGGTCTGCAAGACCAGAGCGCACCGGTCCGCAAAAGGACACAAGAACTTCATATCCCACAGCAAGGGGAAGGAGGCAGGGAGAGACTTTTTAAAACACCAAAACACCCCTTCAGGAGATGAGGTAAGCCGAGGTTAGCCAACTCCGATTGGTTGTGAAATATCATACGGACCCAGAGTTGCTGTGGCTTTAAATGAGGCCAAGGAAATTTCCTGTTTTCCTGCTCAAATACTTTTTTCTCCCTCTCTCCCCCTCTCTACCTCCTTTGTCCCTTTTTCCACCTTGCCAAGTCCTGGTCCCTTCCTCCTTCCCAGTTTCCCTTTCCTCGATCACCCTCCTCCACTCCCTGCGCCCTCCCCTAGGATTAGGCGCGGACCGGGAAGGGTGGGAGTGCTGGGGGAAGCTCTCCCTTTAAGAGGCAGCGTGCAGTGACGAATTGTTGAAATTGCCATTGCAGGATGGCACGCCGCTATAAATTCATTGTCCCACCTCCTCGCATCTTCACAGTGTTGGAGCCGCTCTCTGCGCCCGCAGCAGCCGACTGGGGATGACCACGGGCGGGAGGACTCGGTAGCGGAAGGGTCCCGGACTCCCCGCCTGGCTGGCTCGCCGCAGGCCGCCTTCTGCCTTTTGATTTTAAACATTTTAGGGCTCTTTTTATTTTTTTATTTTTATTTTTCCTTTCCGTCTCTTTCCCCTCTGCCTTCGGGTTCCAGCAGAGTCGAGGAAGCCCACCGAATACGAAAGGAAGTGGGTCGGGGCTTGGAAGCTCCTCCGCAGCCGGCGAGCCTTAGGCTTCGAGGGGGCGGGAGCCGGCGCGCACTAGTTGCGGGCGGGGAGCGCGGTCGCCCTCCTTACTCTCTTTTCTCATTTGTTTTGATCGGTTTGTGCAACGATCTTGTCGGCACTGGTCTTCTCTCTTTTTTCATATTTGGTAGCTCTCCACCGCCTGGCTTTTGCTTTATGCTCTCCCACCCCTCCCCCTTTTTATTTTTCTTTCTCCGTCTCTTGGAGCACAATTCCAAACATTTTCCAAACCAACAAAGAAAAAGTTCGCACGCTGGCACGGCGGCCAGGACAGGCTGGCGGTCTGCTGCGGGTTCCCCCTACCCTTCCCTGGACACTTGACTCAACTTTGCACACGATTGTGTAGAGTGTGTGGATAGGTGGGTGGGAGAGTGAGTCCCCCACCCCCGCCCCTGAAACTTCCATAGCAAATAGCAAACATCCAGCTAGACTCAATCGCGCAGCCCCTCCCGGCGGGCAGCGCACTATGCGGCTCGAGTGGGCGTCCCTGCTGCTGCTGCTGTGCGCCTCCTGCCTGTCCCTGACCGCTGACAGCCCCACCACGGCACCTGCCCAGGATAAAACAAGGCAGCCTCAGACTGCTGCAGCGGCCGCCCAGTCCAGCCAGCCGCAGGGGGAGGAGAAGCAGGAGTTGGACCGTCTGAACCTGCTGGCCAGGCAGCGCAGGAGCAGCGGGTTGGTGCAGAATATAGACCAGCTCTACTCTGGAGGTGGCAAGGTGGGCTACTTTGTCTATGTGGGCGGCCGAAGGTTCCTGCTGGATCTGGAGAGGGATGACTCAGTGGGCACCGCTGGTGGCATCCTTACCGCAGGAGGAGGACTGAGTGCATCGTCTAGCCACCGGGGTCACTGCTTCTACCGGGGTACCGTGGATGGCAGCCCTAGATCCCTAGCTGTCTTTGACCTCTGCGGGGGTCTCGACGGCTTCTTCGCTGTCAAGCATGCGCGCTACACTCTGAAGCCGCTCCTGCGTTCCTGGGCAGAGGCAGAGGCCAGACGAGTGTACGGGGATGGGTCTTCACGCGTCCTGCACATCTACACCCGCGAGGGCTTCAGCTTCGAAGCCCTGCCACCACGCGCCAGCTGTGAGACTCCCGCGTCCCCACTTAGGCCTCAAGAGCGCCCCTCGGTGCACAGTAGTTCTAGGCGACGCACAGCTCTGGCCCCACAGCTCCCAGACCAGTCAACTTTCTCACCCGCTGAAGATGCAGTTCCTCAGACTTGGTGGAGGCGGAGGCGCCGTTCCATCTCTAGGGCCCGCCAGGTGGAGCTCCTTTTGGTGGCCGACTCCTCCATGGCGAGGATGTATGGCCGGGGCCTGCAACATTACCTGCTGACCCTAGCTTCCATCGCCAACCGGCTGTACAGTCATGCTAGCATCGAGAACCACATTCGCCTGGCCGTGGTGAAGGTGGTGGTGCTGGCCGACAAGGACAAGAGTCTGGAGGTGAGCAAGAATGCCGCCACGACCCTCAAGAACTTTTGCAAGTGGCAGCACCAGCACAATCAGCTAGGCGATGACCATGAGGAGCACTACGACGCAGCTATCCTGTTCACCCGAGAGGTAGGTGCAGCGGGTGGGTGTCCAGCTCTAGGATACGGAGGCGCAGGTGGAAGGGATGGTCTCACTGGTGGCTCTGTTTTCGCCACAAACTACCGGCCACTCACTGTAGATTCGCTTAACTGCATTTGCAGGAAACTCAGCCTCCAGCACCTCTCAGGTGTCCAATTAGCCTCTGTAATACATCCTGCTTTTAGTGAGGAGACCTGTTTTAGGAGAACAACATTCAACAACGCTGGATGCCATCCACTCAGACACAACAGTATGGTGTACAAGCATGATAAAAAGACATGTTTATGCTTGAGGAAGGTGAACAGTTAAATGGGAAAGGGGAAAAGTAATGTTGCCTTTGAAATCGTGTTTTCTACTTCCCAGTGAAGACAAAAATGCTGCTTTGTGCAACTTAATGGGAAAGACTTGAAAGTTGGCAGTCACTTTTATCTGATTGATGACCTCCCTTGTAAATGTCCTTATGCGAACCCTTCTGCATGCAACACTAGCCCTTTCCAAAGGACTCCTTTTCTAATGTGGCTTCCAAATGGGCTTCTGACGTGTCCACCTTGGAATCTGAGTTGCTGAGAGGGAAGGAATGTGGGAGGGCCAAGAGGATGCGGAAGTCCAATCAGCTGAGAGGACAACCCCTAAGGTCCTTGAGCAAGGCCTTCTCCTAGCACATCCCAAGCACCACCCTCCAACTCAGCTGCCAAACAAGGGTCAAATCCAGTTGGAAGGTTTGGGTTTTGGATGAATGTTTCTGAAGGTCTGGGCAGAGCTTCAGGATGTGGGGAAAGAATGTTTTCCAAGGACTTCCCCCACGTTAAGGAACATGGTTAAAGAGAAGGAAAGAGATGGGTCATTATAAACCCAGACATTCTGGGAGGAACAAATCTATTTACACAGTTACCAGACCACCACGTTAGTGTGACATTTCAGACACAAAGTCAGGGTTTGCTGGCACTTATAAGCCCCGTGTTCACATTCACAAAGCTGTCTTGGTTGCCAGTATTTCCCTCCATTACCCTTATCCTATCTCCTCCCATCCCTGTTGACACTCTTGTTCCCAACTAATCCCTTTTTATTGTGTTGTGTGTGTGCATACGTGCATATGTGTGTGTGCACACACATGCATGCACATGTGTGCATTATGATGACAGCTTCAATGTATGCATAACTGTCAAGGCCATCATGTACCCAAAAGTCAACTGAGGATGAGCAGTCCACTGTCTTCCTTATTCCTTTATTCCTAGCATTTTGATGCATTTTGAGTTTGTTATTTAAGCCTGACCCATTGCCAAAATACAGTTCCTTGCCTAATGTGGGCCTCTTATGTACCTGGAAGGGAATGGTGTTTAAAACTCATACTAAGGAAAAAAAATCATACTAGGTATATGAGATTCATCAATAAATGAAGTAACTACAAACTATTTTACATGCAAATTATAGCAATAAGAGCAAGGGTAGAAAGTTCAATGGCACACTGTAGAGGCTTTAAGGTACTACATATTTTGTTACTTAATTTTTATTTTTACTAAGGGAACCATGGCATGAAGGAAAAGGTGTTAATAAATTCAAAAAAAGGAAAACTTGTGGTTCATGGGGTGGACATAAATGTAACCCACATGCAAACAAAGCCACCAAAGGCAGCATGTAGGGAGAAGGGGACATCACAGTCTTATGTGCAATGGCAAACCTTTCATGTCATTGAGAGACGCTCCGCAGGGTGTCCCTTAAATCCTCTCCTCAGCGCTAGTCTTTGAAATGGCAGAACATTCATTTTGTAGGCTGCCCTATGAAATTCTGCTGTAAAACTACCCCTTTCTCATTTGGTTTCCAAGTCTTTTTTTTTTTTTTCATAAGCAACTTTCCACGTCTGTGTTTCCTGGTGTTGCTATGTCATGAGTGCTTGCCAAGAAGGAGGCTTGGGACGGTTTGTGGAAGGAGGTTCCCTAAAGAAAGAGGAAAAAATACTTTTGTAGGCAGACCACACCAAAAGGCATGTACTGCCAATCATCGTAATAATTTTCTCTCGACTTTAATACAAAAGTGTAGTTCACAATTCTAAAATCAACCTGAAGGCCTCTCACTCTTTAGCCCCTTCCACATTCTTTCCCCAGTTATTTCCCAAATGAAAGAGAACCAGCCCGTGATTCCAAGTGGTGTCTATTGCTTTTACTGGGTTTGTTTTTCACTTGGGTAACTGACAGTCACCTTTTTCCAATCTGGAAAATGCATCACTGTAGTTTACCTAGACAAAGGCAATGTAGAAATAAATTCATTCTCCAAGTTGTTTTTCATTTAAACATTCTTAATTGCATTCTATCGATGGAGGAGGTCCTGTGCCAGAGGATGTAAGAAAGCGTCAAAAACGACAACGTCTGGGAATTAGTTCTTTTCCTCTACCATGTGGGTCCCAGGAATCAAACTCTGGTTCTCAGACTCTGTGGCAAGTGTCTTTACCCACTTGAGCCAGCCCTAACTTAACTTTATTAAAAATTACAAGGTTCTCCAAGATGGTTTTCACATGGGAAATACTTCAGTGGTGCCCTCTCTGGCTTCCTTGCTAAGCAGAAGCATGCTTAAATACAGCAAATGCCATTTGGCTTGTGGCTGATCTCTGATATATTCATCTAACATCACAAGCACTAAACCTTTGAAAATCACTGGCAATATGAACATATTATTCTAATTTTAAAAAGGACTATTAGGAGGCCAGTGAAAGCATTTCAATGCTGGGCAATACTCTCTTATAAGTCCTCAACATGCAAAGTTAAACTCTGCCTAATGCTTCAAAAAGTGGAAACCAAGAAGTCTAAAAGAGAGAAGATCAAGACTCCACCATCCCGGGGAACTCAGGTATTTTCAGGCTGGCCCATATGAAAGGAATAACTCTCACAGCTATTTCTTTTCAATGAGAAATACCCAGACTTGGCACCAGGATTCCATTTTTACAACTCTGTTTTGAGTGTAAGATGTGTGTTGCTTAGCAGCCAGACGCCCAGCCATCAAATCCATGTTTTGATGGGCTCTGAGTTCTGTTCAAATTTTGTGTCCAGATGTCTTCTGCTAAACTGCTTGTTTTTCAGGCGTGAAGCAAATGTGTGAGGAAGTGCTTTCCACTCCTGTTTACTAGCCAGTAACACCTTGAACATTGTGTCTAGCAGACAGCAGAAGAGTGTTAATAATTCAGCTATCAAGCTAGCACACTTCACTGGCCCGGCTATGCACTGGCCTTCAGTAATGTTCTACTTATAGAAACAACACCCATTATTTTTCTGGCACAATGTCACTTGCATTGTGAATGTTATTTCTGCTGGAATTCACACTATTTCTGCCACCAAACATTAGAAATCCAGCCCCCAAGGGTTTACTGTTTGCTTCCCAGACTCCTCTCCTAATTTTGACTACCTCCCTCATTATACAATGAATTTTTAAAGACTATCGTGAGTTTATTGTCCAGACCATTCACTCCTCTTTAGAAAGGTGTCTTCCTGATGGATGTCGAAATCAGAAATTATTTCACATTTTTCTTTACAAAGACCAGCAACAAGGAATTCTTTACTACTGCATAAACTAAATACATTGGGTTGAATATGAACAGACTAAGAAACAGCAATCAAAGGCCTATTAATTTTCATTAACTGCTAAAGCATGCTTTAATAAGCTATTATGTGTCACCTAGACTCTTTCTTCTCCCATGCCTATCTTGTGATGGTTGATCCAGGATTCAAACATCCCCCTCTACTATGAGGTTCCTTCTGAGGTTGGGCATAATGGACACTAGGAGACAAAAACCTTGGAAGAGAGAGAGGGTTGCACTCTTTGTTATCGATTGCTGACTAGACCAACTAATTCAGTCACATACTTAAATTCAAAACCACTCTGAGTTTAAAGTGACCATTGTCAAGGAATTACAGCTATAGACCAGCCTTAAAGATTTAATAAGCCAGGAGTTACAGATCAACCTAAAAAGGATTTAATAATCCAGAAATGGGGAGAGTAGTCATGGATTAAGCAGTTCTATCTTATTGTGCATGAAAAAGGTATGAGGTTTTTCTTTTTTCTTTCTTTCTTTTTTTTTTTTTACAAACTTGAGCCATAAAGCAGAAATATACAGCAACACAAAGGATTTAGATTGTCTCAGAGTAGGCACTGTGTGTGTGCACATTTGCTATGGAGAGACACTCTGGGAGATGAAAGTAGTAAGACCAAAAATACCTGTTTGCCATCTGCAAACTTATCAGAAGCAGAGAGGAATAGATGTGTAGACAAATCACTCATATCAAGAAAACCGATAGACTTTCACCAAGGATGAACAAATCTGTGCAGGAAAGAAAAGAAAACCACTGGTTCTTCCTTGGTTGCTCTACCCAGGTCTCTATGAAAATATATAATTGCATTGTTTTCAATGGATGGGCTGATATGATTTGGATGAAACTCCCTGGTTCTGAGCATTTCTTAAGTACTACTGTCCACAGTGTGAATCATTTCACCCCTAAACAACTGAACAATCAGCAGCTATCATGTTGTTTTATTTTGCAAGTAGAAACATACATTTGAAGAGAAACACAGGTAATCTGAAGACAAAGTCCCATCACTTAGTCTTCAAACTTATTGTGATTGGTTTGTTCAAATACCCAATCAACAATGATCTTTATAGCCAAATATACAAAGGTTTAAAAAGTCACCACTTCAAAAAAATCTATTCCAGAAAATATAGCATTGATATGAATGGGTGTAGCTTCTGGTAGATACGGTTGTCAGATGGCATAGGCAGAGATTAAGTGTAGAATTCAGTTCTGGAGAATGCAGTGTTAGTGAAACACATGTCCAGGAGTTAACAGCAGACCCACCAAGGTGCCACATGCAATGAATGGCCAGAGGCAGTGTCAAGAATTGATGAAGTGTAGAAAGGGGCTGTAAGAAGACCGAGAACAGGAGAGTTGAATGATTATTGATGAAGTAAAGAAAAATGTAACAACCAGATTACTGGGGAAAAATCATAT